ATTATCTGATGAACGTGACACGCTCTGGCTCTCTGTAAATAAAGCAAAGCCACTTCCTCGTCCGACATTAAACAGAGCCCGACAGAGGACAGAGGAGGGAGGGGCGGGGCGGCTGTCGCCGTGCAGCGCAGCTGTCCTGCGTCTGACCTCAAAGTGCACAAGCTTCAAACTTGAGCGTTGGCTGCGATTTTGAAGTTGAAATCGCGTTCGGTGTGAACGCACCATGTTTTAGCCCAGAAGAGTAGAAGTTACTTAATATATTCATGTTTATTTACTGTCCAGAAAAAGCACTTAAATATTACTGGTAAAATATATTAGCATTTTTTATACAGTAATATTGAAATATAATATAATGTGTATTGTTTATTTAGTAAATTCTAGTAGTTTAGAGATTTTAATATATTTTTTGTAAAATTTAAAAGAATAAATAAATGTTACTACGCCCAAAAATCCTTTTTTTCAGTGTGTATTATATGTGCCAGCTGGTTCTTCACTCACTCATTTCTCCTCTCTGCAGGTAGTGAAGCGAATCTGTGAGGTGTCCCACCGCACCAGGCTCCTGGTGGTGGACAGAGAGACAGATGACTACCTCCGCAGACACGGCCTGCTCTGCACAGAGGACCTGGCTGTTGAAATGGGAACACTCTCCCCGCGCCCTTCTCCCATGTCCACGCCCTGCGCCTCTCCCGTAGCCAGAGTAAACTGCCCTCTGACCTCCAAATTCAACCACAGACAAGTATTAAATTATCCTGCTTCAGAGTCCCCCACTCAGGACAAAGAGGACAGATCCTCAGTGGCGTCAAGCTCAGCAACAGACACAGAGGTAGGAGACACGAGCAGAAGGGACAGAAGATTCATACATGTTGGTTTATGTTGCCAACTGTCTTATAACACTGAAAGTGTGGGGCACTGTAAGCGCAACCAACTAATCTGGACTTGGCTGGCCTGCAGTTTGGATCCAGTCCCACTGCAGAGCTTTTAGAGGACTGCTCCTCTTCATAAGACTCCAACAACACAAACCAATACAACAGAACCACTTAAAGTATCTAAAGTTGCAATTTAATTAACTGAGTTTAGCACCAATTCATAATAAAAGGAGAACTGTACAAAAGCATATAAAATACTAATAGGATAAGTTATTATAAGAAAGCCATTAATCTTCACTTAGACACAATCAGCTATCCAAACCAGGAGAACAGTGGGAATAAACAACTCCCTTTTAACAGCAATGATCTTCCTAAGAACCTGAACCTGCTGAGCCACTATCTACCTCAGCCAACTAGAGCTAGAGGGGTTAAAGTTAAAATAGGAACTTTAGGGGGTCTTCACACCAGCCAGGTTTAGTCCACTTTAATTGAACTCTACTTTGTTTGCCTGGAAAGTCCGGTTCATTTAGGGAGGCGTGAACGTGTAATTGAGCTCTGATTCAGACCAAAAAAAAAGCGAACTCTAGTCCGCCTGAAGGCATAGGTCTCGGTTTGGTTGAAGCAAACTCTGGTGCAGTTTGATTGCATGTGTGAACACCTAGTGGACCGGAGACCATTCCAAAAGCAGGAAGCAGACTATAACTCAGGGCATTCAGAGTAACAGTAATAAGGTTACCAGTGGTGGGCACCTGCCCACTAAAGCGCAAATCCACTAATTGCGGACCTAAACCTTTCATTTGTGCTTTAGCGGTCTTACTAATTTTTATAATTCATAAGCGGATTTGCGCTTTCTAAAATTAAAATGCAGTACCGCTCATACATGTCAACTTGTACAGATTGTCCGTAAGTTATAAGGATTTTACGTCATTTTGCAGGTATACGGACGTATGGAGCAATCTTACAGATTTTTTCAATTCTTCTGGATTTTTTCAAAACCTCATTTTCAAATTTATCTAACATGTCAGAGTCTGTAGGATCATGAAAAATAAATAAAGAAATAACATCAAATAGGTATCTACCAACCTTTTCTGTCGCTAGAAATAAGTTTTGAACCTATTCCACTCTACTTTCCTCCTGCTTCGCAGCGGGCGCTTTCATCTCTGTGGAGCTCCTTTTTAAAAAAAAAATAAAATAAAGTTTAAATGCTGAAGCTCAATACTTGACGTAATTGGTCGAAGCAACGGGGTTATAAAGGCAGAAATGGTTTAAAGATGTTATGATGGTGAAGACAGACATCTAGTGGTCAACTGCAGATGCTACATGGAAAACTTTAAAGTCCATGATTTTATTTTGAAGGGAAGATACTAGTTTCCTGTTCCCTGTGCTTTCGTTTCCCGTCACAAATCAAATCCGTCATGTACCCAGAATGCATCACTTCAGTTTTCCAATAAACAGTTTTAAAATTACTTTGTTGATGCTTCTTTAATGAAAAATCTACAACAAACAAAAGAAAAAGACAAAGAAGCAGCCGAACTAGCAATCCTCAACAACTTTTAAATTTTTACACCAGGAGCTAAAGGTCTGTTTCACGAAATCACATCCCCAGCAATCTGCAGTTGTAGAGTTAAGTTGTAAAATAGTTAATACACTGCTAGTTGGCAGTGTTGTGTATATATTGTACATGAAGTGTTGCCAGCTAGTACGTGTCAAATTGAACTTGCTCTTTAAAATTAGCTTCCGCTTGTTTTTCTATGGCGTAAGTGCTTTTGAAATTGGGGACCTAAATATTTTCATAAGCGCTTTAGAAATTGCGAAGCTAATTTTTGGATTAGTGCTGCCCACCACTGAAAGTTACTCATATCTTGTAAACACCTCACTCAATGTCTGTAGTGGACATCACTGCTGTGAAGTCCTTCTCTGTGAACACTGCCTCACATGGAGCTGTCTCAGCTGCCTTGAGTGGGAAAACAATATTCTCTGTGGTTCCACCTCATCTTTCACTCATACTGAGCCCTTTGCTGAAGACTATTCTTTAGGCACATTTGCCAAAAACAAAAAAATAAATCCTACAACCACTAAAATCTGACGTCACTCCATGTTTGTTTACATTTTGAAGAAGGAAGTTGTGTTTCATGTCTTCTGAGGTTTTCATGTCAATTCCTTCAATGGTTCTTGGTGCAGAGCCACCAGAGGTGAGGGAAGGAACAGGTTGTTCACAGGGTTTAGTTTGTTTGACAAAATGCTGTGAATGTGAACCGCACCAACTGAAACTGTAAACTAATCTTGCAATTTTGGTCCCCAGTCGAACTGAGTCTACCAGACTACCAGGTGTGAATATGACCTAAGAAAACATATTGTCAAAAAATCCCCGCTATTTATATTCTTTGTCAATATTACAATGCAAGTTGTATTGTTTGCAAATCAAAAAGCAGATGAAATAACTAAAAACCTTGTTGCAATAGATGTCTGTGTGAAGTACAAGCATTTGTTTTATATTTAAGAACGCCCTGTTTGTGTGCAGAAAAAAAATTGTCTTATGAGACGAGATAAATCCCTCCTCAAGTCACTGTTTCAGTTAAATCGATTAACCTTGTCAGGAGGGTGTGGAGCCTATTATCAATATACTGTAAATGTAGAATTTTAATGCACACGTGACGTATCTGACTCTGTGCAACTGATTTTCAGGAGTTTTCGTCACAGAGCAGAGTTGCTCTGAGCCGCAATGTAATAAACTAAAGTCTGAAACACATCAAACTGTTGATTAGAAGTGTTGAAAATCTGAGCAGATACAGATTGTTTTAGCACATGCTGCACAGACCACTGAACTTTATTTTATATATACAGTATACTGTATATAT